GGAAACTTTGCTTTAGATCTGAGAAGAGATCTGAGCTCCAGAGAACTAGGCTAAAACCCAAGGATGGAAACTGGCAAAGCCCACCACCTTGGCCACAGCCCTAGCCAGTGAGGGTAAGAGGCAACCTTCAAAGACAATGAGAGGGTACACAAGGGTGCTGGGGGGATGCTGGACAAAGGGTACACAGTTTCCATCAGAGGGGATCAGATTAGGTCTGCAGGTCTATCACATAGCATGGTGACTATAGTTAATAATGATGTAATTTCATTTGTACTTAAAAATTTATGTAATTTTTTTTGTACTTAAAAATTGCTAGAGAGTTACTCTGACATGCTCTCACAACTGTCTGAGAGGATAGATATGTTAATTAGCTTGACGTCACCTTTTCACATATATGTATATACAAGCATCACATCGTTTGCAGTAAATACATACAATTTTTGTCAGCTATTCACTAATAAAATTTGAAAATAATGATGACAGTCTGAAATAGGCAAATCCATAGARACAGAAAGTAGCTTAATGGCTGTCAGAGGCTGGCAGGGAAGGGGCATGACCCCTGGTGAGTGTGGGGTTTCTTTTTGGGGTGAGGAAAATGTTCTGGAAGTAGAAGGTACTCATGGTTGCATAACCTATCTTGAGATGATACTAAAAGAATCAGTGAATTGTATACATTAAAATGGTACTTTTTATAGGAGGTGAGTTATATCTCAATTAAAAAGTATGGAAAGCCCTTCATTACTGAAGGTGCTTGTGCCAAGATTTAGTAGGTAACTTATTCACCAGAGGCTTCTTGTAGGCCACAGGACTCGGATCGACGGCTTCTCAGACGTCACTAGACATCTCTTTATATTCCGTGGCACACCGGTGCCTCTGGTTCTTGGCCTGTGAGCCTCTCCCCCCTGACCCACAGTGCCTAAGAGCACAGGCTCATGTGCTCCTGGCCACGCTCCTCCCTAACTCTGTGGCCTCATGAAAAGCATGGATCTGCCTCAGCCTCCTCCTCTGGAAAGTGGCAATAAGAACAGCAGCTCTCCTTGGGGTTCCCCAGGAAGTGGTGTCGTCCCAGATGTGGATCTGCTGGGATGGAGATGGTCCACAGCACCCATGACTCTGAGTTGTTCCTTTCTGCTCATTCACTTGGTTTCCTGGGGAGACCCCAGTGTTCAGAGACCTGTACTGCTTCTCAGGTTGACTTTCAAACCACTGTCTCAGATCCTTTCCTAACTCCTGAATTTTTCTCTCACCTTGACTTGGCATCTTTCCTAAGTACATCAGGTTCAGCCCTTATGGAATAGAATTCATCGTCTCTCTTCCTGACCTGAGTCCTCTCTTTTCAGAGCTGTACACACGGAACAGAATGCCAGCCCCTGTGCTAACACAGTACTTTTTATGGGTTGTTGCATTTCGTTCCCATGGCAATTGTATAGGCTGTTATTTTTCCTCTCTGAAATATGAAGAAATGGAAGCTCCAAGAGGTTTTTTATACCTTTCCCAAGACCACTTAAGTAGAAAGAGATGGTCCAAGGACTTGAACTCAGGTCTTTGCAGCTCAAAACGCACCCTGCCTACTGTCGCCAGCCAGAGGCCACCAGTGAAAGCTTTATGCAGCCCTCCAAAGTAAAAACATCAATTTTCTTTACCTTCTCCCACTTTACCACCACCACATATAATGTGTCACCAGCCTTTTAATTCTACTCTGAAAGATTTTTCTTAAATCTTTTCCCTGCTCTTATTCCAGAGCCACTTTCTCATTGTGCTGGTTAGGGTCAATGGTACCCGAGTCCCACTAGTTACCCCTCATCCTGTCTTCACGCCGTGATACTGAGAAGGTAACTGAAAATCTATATCTGATGAATGTCAACCTGCTTAAGATCCTTCAAAATTACCCTCGACTAGTTAGGTAAATTCCAGTCCTCAGAGTGCACAGAAGGTCCTTCCCCACCCAGTCTCTCTTTCCACGTTCATTCTCTGTGTTCCTGCCTTCCTTTTCTCCTCTTCCTGCAGGTACCTACTTTTTGTTGTGAGGGGGAAAAATGTATTTGGCTTAAATTAATCCTGTGTTCATATTATGGAATTGTTTCTTCATTTAATAAGCACTTGTTTTATTTTTAAAATGTATTAGATATTACACACAATCACATAAGTGGGTGTAAAATCTGGTGGAAACTTCATGTATTATGTCAATGACAATTTCCTGGTTTTGATAATATTCTGTAGTTGTATAAATTGTTACCAGTGGGTGAAACTTGATGAATGGTACACAGGCACTCTCTGTACTGTTTTTTTTGTGGTTTTTTTTTTTTTTTTTTGCAATTTTGTATGCACTTATAATTAGTGTGAATTTAAAAATTTTAAAAAGATAATGTAACTTTTGCTTTATGTCCAGGAACCAGTTTGAGAAAATTAGTAGACATACAATGACAGTACACTTAAATTATTTGCGACTGTATTATATGACAAAACTTGCTTGTTCTTTGAACCTGGGCTATGAGATACATGCTGGATTTGACCTTGAAAAGGAGGGTAAAAACCCCTCTTGGCAAAGAACAAAAGCAGACCCTGATTGAATTCCAGCTCTGATGTTTATAAGTTAAGTGAACATGGGCAGGTTACTTAACCCTGAGCCTCAGTTTCATCCTAATTATAATAAATATGATAATGTGACCTACTTCTTAAGGGACTGGGGGATATTTAAACAAGATAGTGTACATAAACAAGGTTAATACGTTTAAGCAAGACAGACTGTAAAATGCTCAGCCTATAACAACCCCTTGATATCTCTCTTCCTCTCACAGCCCACATGGGGAAACTCCAAATGACTCTGCCTTTGAAATGTGTCCAGAATCCCAGTCCTTCTCACCCTCCTCTGCAATCATCTTAGTTCCAGCTGCCATCTTCCCCACTGGAAATCACTCCAAACCCCACCAGATTCGGTGTTCTGTCTCTCACATTTGACATCTAATCTGAACCGGGCAGCCAGAGTTTCCTTGTCAGAATGTAACTTGAATCATGCTATTTCTTGATCAAAATCCCCAGTGGCATCTCAGCTTGCTTGGAACAGAGGGCCCAGCCTTGCACATGGCCCCTTTGCTCTCCTTCCTTCCCCACTTACACTGAGACACACACACCTCCCTCCACTCCCCCATCCAGTCAGCAGCTTCCTGGCCCAGAGCTTCTGCACTCAACTCTTGCCTCATCTGGATGCGTCCTCCCCAGATGCCTACCCAGAGGCTTTGCTTCTGCTTAAAGTCCTACTGAAGGAGCCTTCCCTGGCCACCTAATTTCAGCCTGCAATCCCCATCACCTCACCCTGAGTTGTTCTTCATTCCACTCATATTCTTAACGTGCTATATAATTTACTTATTGTCCATTTCTCCCCAACACACACACACACACACACACACACACACACACACACACACACACAAATGCAAGTTCCATGAGAATAAGTAATTTTGTCTATTTCTGTCGCCACTCTGTCCAGTATGTATTATGTCCAATAAGTCATTTTGTCTGTTTCTGTTGCCACTCTGTCTAAGCAAGCCCACGTGTCTCCTAACACTTGCTAGGATGCTGCCTGCTCTGAGATCCTCCAGGCTCCTCCTGCCACATGGCTGGCCTTCAATGAAATCTCCCAAATGAATGAAGGAATGGATTCCGGTAGAGTAAGCAACCTGAGAACAGTGACAGGAAGACTGTGGTCCATTGGGAAACTCAGGGCAGATGAGAGTGGTCTGAGTGGAATGCACGGAAGAGAAGAAGATGAAGTTGAAGTCAGGACAGTGGCGTGGGCATGGGAGAAGTGCAACTGTAGAGGCCCCATGCCCACAGGGCTTCACCCTTGGTTTAACACTCTGCTGTCCACATTTGAAACTCCTGAACCTTTTTTTAACGAGATGCCCTGAATTTTATTTTTCACTAGATCCTGCACAATTAATCCATTTCTGGTTGGGAAATATGAAAAATTGAAAGAAACTGTATATTAAGAAGGAATAGCAAGGCCACATACTTGTCTTGGGAAGCCCATCCTCTCAGCAATTTGGAGGATGGAACGGGGAAGCTAGAAATATCCTTCTAGCTCATCTCCACCAAGCGAGCCCACATGTCTCCTAACACCTGCTAGGATGCTGCCTGCTCTGAGATCCTCCAGGCTCCTCCAGGCAGAGCTAACATGGCTTGCCCTGGCTCACCGCCRGGCCGGGCATTCTCTCTACACATGGCTCATGCCTCTGCTACAACGCTGAAGGTGTCATACTGCAATTATTTGCAAACACACTTACCTCCCTATCTTCAACCAGGAGTTTACCAAGATTAGAGTCATGTCTTATTCAACTTTGAGGAATATGTGCTTAGTATGACTGCCAACAGAGCAGGTGATCAGTCAGGAAATTTGAAAAATGAGTGAATAAATAAGAAAATATGCTTTGGCATTACATCATTGTGGTTATACATGTTTGCATGTATGCACACATAAGCACATATTTATGTATATTTTTATTATGCAATATATGCAATTTATGTTATATGTGATGTTATCTATTTCAAGAGAAATACATATGCACATATATGTATATATCTTGTTTTTCAAAGAAGAAATTGAGATGCAGCAAAGTAATTATCCCAATGTGTCCAGACTAGGACTTGAACCCTGAATCCAGTACACCTTCTCTAATAGAGGTCTTTTAAATCTGACTCCAGTATCATTTCTCCACCAGTATCCCATACAGGAAAAGACGCTTCAGGGAAGTGAGAGTATTTCCTGAGCATTATCAACTTACTATTCTACACATTAACATCAGGGTGTTCTGTGCCACAGGGACACCTATACATTTCCATCATATAAGTCCTGTGGAAAGAATTTGGGTAAATTTTTAATGTGGTCCATCCTCTTTATCAAATTCACTCTCACCTTTGGATCTGACTTTGGTCCTGGACCACATGGCTGCCACTACCAATTTGGATGACGCCTCATTCTGGAAAGTAAGACTCAAACTCACCATTCTCGCTGCTGTGGTATGGATCCAGCCTCCTGGCACCCTCCAGCCAGATGTCCTCATGGGGGGGAGTATCAGAATCACCCAAGACACTTCCACACAGCCAGGATTGGGAGGCACTGAGRCTGAAGAGAGAAGGAAGGGAGCGGCGGATTCTCTTCTTCCTCCTGAATATTCTGGGAGGAAACGAAAGTGACCTGGTAAACTGTGAACAGCAGTCACTGCAGGTGTGAAACAGTGCCCCRTGGAGGGACTGTGCACAGCATATGTGTCTAGAGCACGAGTCTGGTCACTCCATTAATTCCACAGAAGTTAATTAAAATTCTACCTTGTGCCAAGTCCTTGGATCAATGTCAAGGATATGAGCTAAAGACTAAACCATGTGTACCCAAAGGTCACAGTCTACTCTAAGAGAAAGACAAACAATGCAGGTCTAGCTGGTGCTTTCCTAGAACCTCTTGTGGCCAGGTGGGKTTCTCAGTCTTCACCTGGATATTCAGGTTACCTTCAAGCAGCCCTGTGAGGTGGGCACTATGATTACTCCATTTTTGCGTTAAGGAAACTGAGTTCTAAAGAGGTTAAGTTACCCGACTGAGGTCATCCAGCTATCAAGTGGACAGCCTGGCTTCCAGTCTGGTCTAGATCACCAAAAAATTAGGGAGTATGTGCTTGTAAGTAGGGGATATATGCCTCTCCAGAGGCAGGCTGGAGAGCATGGGGAAAGGCATCGCTCACTGAGAATTGAAGGAGGCTTTGTGGAATGAGATCCAAGTTGCAAGAGCCTGCCCTGCTCACTGATGGACAAGTGGGTCTCATCAGGTCACGCTAGGAATTGTGTCTAGAAAGGTAAACATGGGCAGATAGTGAAGAATCTTGTCTATTTGGGGAATGAGGCAAGATTTAATGTTAATGCAAAAGGAGRCCAATCTCAGGAGCATGTCAAAGGGGAGTAAAGGGTGGTGACCTGCTTGGGAGTGCATTTCCAAAAGATTCTTGGCCACAGAGAATGGCTCAAAGGGGCCAGACCAAGGACAGAAAGGATATTCAAAATATACAGCAACACAAGGTGGTTGTCAGCCAAGCTGGGATGTGCTGAGCCTGCATTATGCACACCCTGGAGAAGATAATCAGGGCCTGAAGCAAAGCCCAGAAGGGCAAAGAGGAAACGGGACACTTTTCCCATTACAGCAGGCCTCCCTGCCACGGACATCTCTAGCTGCCATCAAGGTGTCTTTGAACTGAGTGCTCTCTCATATTCACATGGATTGCAGCAGGCCTTGAGCATTCTTTTTCCTGTTGGTTCCCCACGAGGGTGACCTCAGTCCTAGGGAACCTTGGCAGAAATGGGGCCTTGGTTGAGAAACTCGTTTTTGGAACCACTCTCTCTGTCATCAATTTCAAGTAACAGAAAGTTAAGAAAAATGATAGAGTTCATGATCATGAATAACTTCCTGGTGAAAATTAATCAAATTTGAAAGATTTTTGCAGGTTCTAAAATGAGATCATCTTAAGCAGTAATTAGAAAATTTCTATGTACTCATATATTGATTAATTCACCCAGCAAATCTTCATTAAGCACCTATTATTGGGATGAACACCTATCAAATCTGAGAACAAAATGTATGGATAAAACATCATCTGTAAGGTCAAGAATATCTCTACAATAGGATCGAGTTAAAAGTGGTGGTTAGAAACTTGTTCTCTCAGGTCAGAGAACCTGTTTTGGAATCCTGGTTCCATTTACTAGCTCTGTAAGCTTGGGGAAGTTACTTACTTGGACTTATGTTTCCMGTGTATTCATGGAATTGGTGATACTAGAATCCAAGTTGGAATCAAATGAGAGTGTGTACTTAAATGGTTGAGATAGTATCTAGCATACAGCAAATAAGAAATGATATTGGTTTTTCATTGATTTAACAAACATTGGTAGTTATGATTAAGGTAAACTGGGAGAAAAAGAAATGGAGTAAAATTCTCCTAAAGGAGGTCCCTGGGCCATGTCAGAAAGAGCCACTGTGCAGTAGCCTGGAGAGGTCCTGGAAGGTGGGTAATCCCAGACAGTCAGAGTGCTATGACCAACTGCAGAGACCTAAGCAAGAGRGGATGGTGGTCTGTAGAAAGACAGTGGCCATAAGGAAGGAGAGGAGGAGAGCGACTCTAAGTGGCCTTGGGCAGTCGACTCATCTGCCTTAGCCACTGTGGCAGAAGCAATAAACTTTCTATGTAACTATTCTGCTCTTCTTCCTGGGCACACACTAGGCTATATTTCCCTGATCTCTTGCCACCAGGAGCAGCCATGAGCCACAGGGTCTTCCAGTGGAGTGTGAGCAGAAACTCAGCCCAACTACAAAAAGTGGACTAGCTGTTGTGTATCACTAGGATTTTGTCACTGTTCTGATATGGGAGTTCCAGAAAAGGACGGGCTCTTTCAGGAAGTGAACTCTAGCTTTGTCAGCTGGATGTGAAATGGGACCAATCACCCAAAGCAGAAATAAAGGAAGGGTGTGTTTGCAGGGAAGAAGATGAATGGATTCACTCTGGATCAGTGACACAGGATTGTTGATTCAATAGCTGAGTGATGTAGTCAGCATGTGGGTGGTTCTGCAGCAAAAGAAAATAGACCTGATTGCCCAAATCCCCTGATCCAAAGGGAATCCATTTGTCTTCTTTCCTCCAAACACACCTTTCTTTGATTTCTGCTTTGGGTGACTTGGTGCCACTTCAGAGCCAGTTGACAATGCCGGGGTCCCACACTTCATCAAAGTGCCCTTCCTTTTCTGAACTCCCACCTGAAAAGCATCCGGACCGTGCCCCTCTGCCATCCTGTCTATGTGCCGCCCTCCCTCTTATCCTAGTCCTGCGTCCTCTCAGTCTGTGGTACCCTGCCTTCAGTTTTTTCTCTTCTACTCGCTTTCCACTTGGATTCCCACCAGTCCATCCTCTGAACGGCAATCACTGCTGTCCTTCTGGGAACTGATCAGACAGTTGGTCAGTGGCTCTTCCTGATGTAGGCACTGGAGCCCACCTGCCTGAGCCTGGTGGGGACCCCACCTTGGTGCTCAGCCTGCTTTCCCACAGACACTCCTTCCCTTCCCACCCCAGCTGGACCCTCCTGAGCTACCTGCACTGCCTGAGGSATATGGGTTTCTCAGAATCCCACGTCTGTGGTCTTCCCAGGAGGTCCCTTGCCTGYACCTCCTAATACCTCACACCTCTCCCACTCCAGTCGCCGTCACCAGCTCTAAACGCCTGTTTTTAACCTGTAYCCAGGTAAAGTGGTCTCCTGCTCTTTCCTTCCACCACCCCCATACAGACTCCTGACCYGGCACCTGGATCACTCCACTTTCCTTTGGCTCGTTTTCAAGTCAGCCATCATTGTCCCCTCCTAGCCGTTGGTCCCCACCATCTAGAGCACTAATGAGCTCCTGAAGGAAGGCTGCTGAGTGGGTGAGGGAACGAGCCCTCGGAGGCTGGAGGGGACTTGAGCCCCCCCTCAGGTAACAGCCTCCACTCACCTGACCAGGTTCTCCTTGTACATGACGGTGGTCTGGGAGGGGTTCAGAGTTATGTTGCCGTCTTGGTCACACAGGAAGCTGTCCTCCGTCCACACATAGTAGCCGTTGGTGAGGAGTCTGGGGCTGCGGCGACAGGCGTAATGGGAGCCTGTCAAGGGGTCGATGGAGCAGCATTCGAAGGGACTCCCACCGTCCAGGAAGTCGAAGGCCAGGCTGGAGAGGGAGCACAGAGGGTCTGTGAGGGCGCCGTGCTGCAGCCACACCGCCGCAGTGCCCAGCTCCCGGGAAGAAAGGGGACCGCTTCCCGTTTGCTCTATTGGTTACTTCCTGGACCCTCACGGCTGTCACTCTGGCCTTTTGGGATTCAGCGTTGAACCACACGAAGGACGTCTAGTGCCTCTTTCTATTTTAAACTTTGGTGAGAACCTTGTGGTTAAGCAGCATCTTCCCCACATGATGAGCCTTCACTCTTGACATGAGTCCATTTTCTTGGGTGGAAAAATTGCAAAACAGCCTTTCTGGGATGTTGGAAACCGAGAATTCCCTTCGCCCCCCTTGAGTGCCATCTGCCACATCCTTACTCTTCTCACTATAACTGAGAAATTATAACGTCTCTTTCCATCTTCCACCTAACAGCCACTCCACTTCAGGAAGACACTTTCTGTGTCCTGCATGGGTTCTCTGTTTTCCACACTAACACTTTTCCAGTTCATTTAACTTGACTTTACATGACACAATGTGGTTTTGATCTCTTTGCGATCATGTTTTGAATGCTATTCTCTATTTTTCAGCTTTTAAATCATCTTTTCACGTATTGTGCCCAGCATGGAACCCAGCCTTTTAAATGTGACTGTCTAATTAAAGACATGATTCTATAATGAGGGAGGTGACAGTCCCGTCTCTAATGATGAAGCCCAAGTCATGTTAGCCTGATTCTTTTCTTTCTTTTTCTATAGTCACCACCAACTTATCATCATACAACTGAAYTGATAATCGATTTCCAGACTTTCTCCCATATACTTAATCATAATCCCCCCACCCAGCGTTATGATCAATCATCCAATTATCTTAGAAAGTCAATATATAATAAAGACAAATAACAAAAGTCTTTTATCTAGATAAAGCTGGGTTTACAACTGAGATTGAATCCTGATTCTGCCACTTGCTAATTATTTATACACCCTAAGATTTAGCTTTCTGTAAATGCAACCTATACAACAAGCTTTACCCAAAGCCAACCTTGTAGAGTTGCTATGAAGATAAAATATCATCATGTCATCATTACATGGAAGGTTAACACCTCTATCTTCCATCATCCGGGTGCTGTGAACTAAATCTATTGCCTAGTATTTGAACAACCCCAAGTTTTGCGCTTTTGGAGTTTGGGAGGACTCGGATTATACCATGACATTTTTAATGTATTTACATAATGTTGTTCAAAACTGTTATCCCTGGAATTAATATGTTCTTAATTCAAACCTGTGATGAAAATTTTGAACAGTACAGGTAGAGATGCTTGGGAATCACCAGGAGAGTCTACTTTGCAGATATGCACTCACCCACCTCATTTTTGGTTATTGTTCCCCTTTTTAATAGTTTAGAAAATGGAGACTCCAGTAGGATAGTTAATTGTTCAAGATCTTAAGACTTGTGATTGGAAGAGGCAAAATAAGAATCTACATCTTTTGTCTCCTACCTTGTGATTTTTTTCTCTATACCATTTTCCCTCCTCAAGAATTAATCTGGAACACACCTGAAATCCCAGTTTCTTGGGAGATTGAGGCAGATGGATTCCAAGTTTGAGGCTAGCCTAGGCAACTTAATGAGACCTTGTCTCAAAGTTAATTTTCCTTTTTAAAAGGGCTGGKAATGTTGCTCTATGGTAGAGCACTTGCATAGCATGCGTAAGACCCTGGGTTCAGTTGCCTAACCACACACACACAAACAAACAAACAAAAATCAACGGGGTGACTCTAATGCACTGGACATGTAGGAGATAYAGACTTCCAGACCTGCATTTCCATGAGCCCTCCAACTCCCAAGGTTTCAACCTTGAACATGAGTCAACAGCAGTCTCTTGCACCCCAGCTGTCTCCCCTTTCTATTCCTCTTTACTTTGTCTCCTCTGTCTTTTTTTTTTTTTAAGAGAGAGTGTGAGAGAGAGGGGAACAGAGAGAGAGAGAGAGAGAATTTTAACATTTATTTATTTTTTCTTAGTTCTCGGCGGACACAGCATCTTCGTTTGTATGTGGTGCTGAGGATGGAACCCGGGCCGCACGCACGCTAGGCGTGTGCGCTACCTCTTGAGCCACATCCCCAGCCCTCCTCTGTCTTGATTGTAGACAAAATAGAGATGTTTTTCCAGACACCCACACTGTAGTAAGAAAGAGCTGCTTCCCCCAACACTTTGAGGTGTAGCACAATTACCTCTAGATCTTGATGTAACTCTTCAATTCTGCAGTAATAATTGCGAAAGCTGAGTTTTCCTAGAAGGTCCCTTCCAGCTGGATTCAGAACTCCAACCTCACTCAAAGCCAACAACTAACTCAACTGCCCAAAGACCATGTCTTGTCTTGCTTTGAGAAGTGACTGACCAGGCTTTGGAAGAGCCTGGAGCTCAGCTTTCTAGGGTATCACAAAGATTGACTGGCGTTGGTGAAGGGACAAACACTGCTAGGGTGTAAAAAACAGTACAGCATACAATTAATCCCACATCGATGGAGCACTAATGAGCTCCTTAAGGATGGCCACTGAGTGGGTGAGGGAACGAGCCYTCTGAGGCTGGAGGGGACTTGAACACACCCTTCTTCTATGTATCTCCCTCATGCTCCGCTGAATCCCTTTTGTTTTCAATTTAAAAGCCTATCCATGATTAATATATGCACCCAAGTTCTTAAGGAAATGCTGTTTAAATAGGTATTTATTTATTGGAACTTTTCATGGGTCTGGACCCACATTTTTTTGTCTGCTCTTCGCTAATCTCTCTAAATATAAGTATCACTGTTCACAGCCTTGTACAGCAGGGAAAAAAATGAGATGCAGAAGGGCAAATTACTTGGATATTTTACAAAGCTTGTATGTGGCAGAGCTATGATGTGGGTGGACCTAGTTGATCTGACTCTAAAGCRTGTGCTCTGTCCACAGTTCTGTTCATTCAACCAGAGCTGACTCTTTTGGTAGCTCAGGAACCCTAGAATTAATTTACTGGAAGGGGCAAGTTCTAATATCAGTGACTGACCCCTTTATGGGCACATTTCACAAGATGCATGGGAAAGTTAAACTTTTGAGGGTCCGGAAAAAAGGAAGGAAGGAAGGAGGGAGAAAGAAAAGTCTGTGTAGTACTTGAACAAAATGGTAGCATCTACTTGTGTGAGTGAAGTGTGAAACTTAGGTAGCTTATGCATTGGTGTAAAATAATATGGCTTTATAACATGAGCTAGGAAGACATATTTAAGAGACCATTACGGACATATAATACGTCAAAATACACTCTACTGTCATGTATATCTAAAAAAAAAACCCCAAACAAATAAAAAGAGAGAAACCATTGATGTGAGAAAAAGTAACCATTCATCAGTATTCAGTATAGCTTCTCCACTCAAGAAAGAAACAATTTATATCTGCCTACACATTCACACTTAAAAAAAATCAAAAATCAAAAATAAAATCTGTCCTCAGATTAGTTTTTGTTTTGTTTGTGCTTGAAAATATATAACCACATCAAAACCAGAAACCAGATGATCGCTCAAATGATATTTTCAAATCAGGACAAAATAAGACATACAGGAAGGGAATTTGATTTGATGGTGAAAAGCTTGGCTGCATACCTTGGGAAAATGCAGGAGGGAGCCAGCTCTCCAGTACATTCTCTGTTGGACCTGGTGGAGCCTGCAATGCAAATGGGAGATGAATTCATGGCACCTCACCAAGACACAGGATCCTGACAATGGTGGCAATGAGACAGTTGGTGTCTCAGCCTAAGCAAGAAGACTTCCGCTAGCCCAGCCTTGCTACCAATCAGCCCAACACAACTTGTCACCAGGCCCCCATGGGAAGAAAGAAAGGATGTTGGGGCTTCCAGTTTCTGTCCCTTCTTACAGCAGTGCTTTAGAGGTTCCTCAGTGTAAGATGAGGCAATAATAAGTCCTTGGCATCCAAATGAGCTTGTGAAAGGAAGGAAGAAAGCATCGAGTAGGGAAGAGACCAATGTCAATCGCCCAAAGACTTACTGTAGTTACTGTAGTTTACTCAGTAACCTGAGAAATTCAGTCATCAGCCCCAATTCTCCCTCCTTAGTGCATTCTAAGAAAGTTCTGTAAAGTTGTGAGCAGAACACATTAAAGGTGTTTCATTTGTTTTGTTTTTAAATATGCAATTTTCCAATGTTGGAAGCCCATGAGTATTCCTCATTTAAAAAAAAAAAAAGTCACCTATTCATTGAGTCCAGCTTAACAGTGGGCCTGGCAACTTCCCTTGGGGAGAATTGCTACAGATTAATATTCTAAACTCCAAAACAGCACTTAATACTGTGCAGAGAGGTGTCAATACTTATAACAGACAGGCTCCAAGAGACTGGATTCCATGACTGACAATCACCAAGACAAAGAAAGGAATTTAGACTTTCAGATTGGGCTGGTTGATTTGTCAGGAGAAAATCGTGGGTGTGTGAGGGAGGGTTAGAATCGAGGTTTGGGGAGAAAATAACAAGAGGAAGGAAGAAACTTGAAACCACTACCGTTTTAACAACGCCCTTATTTTCTGCAAGTAGCTATCAAAATCATTCAGCATTTTTTATAGACAGTTTTGCATCTTAATAGTAGCTGATAAACAATCTCCTTTCACATTTATGAACAGGCATCTAAAAAAGTAGTGAATTTTTTTCTACGAAAAAAAAATACCACATTTCTCTCAAGGAAAGAAATGAAGTCAAAATCATCACGGTGGCGCACACTGGCATTTAAGAAGCTAAGCTACTGACAGATGGTTAATGGTCTAAGTATCAGCAAAATCAAAGCAAGGAAATTGCTAAAAGGCGTCTAATCGTTCAAAAGATAATTGCGTATAGCAGTTCTCCTACATTTACTTGCTACTGGTGTTGACATCAGTTGAGATATTCGGTACATCTTGGGAAGGCCGCTTGTTCAAACTTCACAGATTTTCTGCAAAAGATGTTTAAAAAAAAAAAAAGCAAAAGATGGACTATATATCAAAAATGGAAAAATGATGCCAAAACAGATGGCATCTACTAATTGCACTAGTCAGATTTGTTTACTGAAATAGTACAGAGATATAGGATTGAAGGCAGGAGACCAGATTGTGGGATTTCTGTAAGGTTGTATCTGCCTCAGTGATTTTGTGTTCTACCTTCCATTGTCTTGGGACACTGAATCATCTTTTTCTTTAAATAAGGATAACGTTTTACTTGGGAAAGCCACACTTACAAAGGTTGATTTGTCTTCCAAATATAATAATGAAAGTGAGTTATTTAACCAGGAAGTCTGAAAAGTGACTGCTTCCAGAAAACTCCAAACAATCTGATTCGTATTTAAACCCTCCAGCGCAGATCAACTTCATTATCAAGTTTCCAGCTGTACTTGGGGAGGGTGTCTGTCTTTTGCCCAAACAACTTGAGCCACTGACAGGTAGTCACAGAGGGTCAGGGCTTTCTTTATAGTTATTATCAGTCTGATATCAGGCTGGACATTCCTAAATAGCATAAGCATCATTGCACTAAAAATAGCATAACACTGGGAAGATTTCAGAACTCAGCTCCTGTGAGCATTTAATTTACTTTGTTGGTTACCAATTCAGCACATATAAAAGTGTATAAATTATATAATCTTAAATCACTTACCTCTCATCAAATAGATCTACCTGCTATTGACTACTGAAATGTGTAAATATCAATCTACTCATAGCTTTGTGAAGTAGGACTATGATTTTCTGAGTCACCGCCTCTGTCCAAGTTATCGAAGTGCAAAGGATTGTTTTTGTGGTTTTAACACAATAAAATTCATCAGGTGATTCTCAAGCTCCATGCTTATTGTTTTAATAAATTATATAAAAACCTTGTTAGGAATTATAGAACTCAGCTTACAGTAAGTACCCTTCATGGATGTTAAATGAACTTGCTAGCATTCCTTGGACAAAAATCTCTAAATCTAAAAAACACACATTTGTAAATTTCACTTGTTAGTAATAAAAAAAAATTGTTTACAATCTAATACATTAGTATATCATTTGTCATTTTCATTTTTGATCAACATAATATCAATTTGTCCAACATAGATTACCCTATATTGCCCAATGCTAGTATTTTTCAAGCACTAGGTGTTGTTTATTTTTTTCCCCCTTGTACTGGGAGTTGAACCCAGGGCTCACACTGAGCTGTGTCCCCAGCCCTTTAAGCTCATTTTAAGCCAACAAACCCTGCAACAGAAAGTAAGGTCTTGTTGTTGTCTTATAAATATCAGTGGCACTCTAMAGGTAGTACGCTGACAGTTAATTGAGAATTAGTAACAGTGAAAACGACTTCAGTTAGAGCTCTAGAACCTTTCAAGAAACAGAGTCTGTTTACCAGTTCCTTCCAAGCAACACATGTTGCTTGGAAAAATACTTTGCCCATACGTGCTCCTTCCGGAAGGAATCCCTGATCTCTTCTTCCAATTAATAAATGACAAAATAATTACGGAAATGTGATGCTCCCTGTGGTTGATAGCAGAGAAAGCGAGGACTGAGCTGTTCTTCAACTGAAAGTAAAACATCAGAACTCCAACAGGTGCCGAAGYCTCTTGAAAAAGGAATTTCCATCCCCTCTCCTAATACTTGTTGTGCACATGACTGCAGTGTGCAGAAGTCTGGTGCTCAGACTGTTTCCTAGAAGGGAGGAATGTGTAGTCCTCGGGAAAGGCAGCCTCACGCCCCCCACCCTGCCCCTTCTTGTTTTCTTTTAAAAACCGCTTACATAACATAGGCAGAGCCAGTGTGAGGTCACACTTCCTGCCAGGCTCCTGCCAGTGGTATTCAAGATAAAGGCAGGGCGAAGATCTCACAGAGTCTCCTGCAGGAGTACCAGGGGATTTGCAGCCCTTGAGACCAGCTGAATGTACTATGGTCACTATAGGGTGTTTTTCTAAGCCAATGTGTCACCACTATAGCTGCAAGAACATGAGGAAATCTTTCAGTGAAGAAATTCTACTTGYTCATCCTCTTTTTGACATTTAGTTCTGAGTACTGCATAGTCATGCCCTTTATCCAAATCACTTATATTGATAATGCATTGATGTTCTTAAGTTCAAAATGTTATTAAGTAACAGGAGCATGATTTTATGCAAAGTCTTATGGTGGTAACGTATCGACCTAGCAAAGTTGGGATTAAAAAAAAAAAAACTCGATGAGTAGCATTTTAGACTTTATATTTTAGTAGCACCCAAAGAACTTGGTACTGTTTGTGAGTCCCCACACTTCTGTGTTACTGAAGAGATAAAAGAAATATGTGTTCCGGGAACATTGAGGGAGCATTGGGTACTGGAAGGTGTGTGGGTTTTGAAGTCACACAGAATGAGTTTCAAACTCTCTGCTGTATTGGCTATGTGGCCTCAGACTTGTGAATTCAGCTTTTAGAGTTGCAATTTTCTCAACTATAAATATAATACCACATACTTCACAGGATGATTTGAAGAATTAAATGAGAAGAAAGAAGAGGGAAGTCACGAAGTCAACACTAGCCTGCAGGATGCACTCCTTCCGGTTTTCTGCAAGCCCACACCTCGTCTGAGGCCTCTGTGGGGAGGCTGGCAGAAAAGTTTTCAGCCATTGGTTCTCAGGGTCCCTTTAACTTTGAGGTTCTGCTGCATGACAGAGTCTTCTGTAGAACATGACCCAGGCAGCAAAAGCCATCAGCACGACTCAAATCCTGGTAGGACARTTCCTGCTTGTACTCTTAACTGGGAAACAATAATAGTCCTATCAGATGTTTTCTAGGAGCCAGGTCCTATAGTAAGCATCGTATATAGAGRCCTTATTTAAGCTTCGCAGCATCCTAGAAAGCAAGTTGAATGATCATCCACTCCAGCTGGAGGTGCAGGGAATGCGGCTCCCTCTCCACACTGCAAAGGGCTGGTATCCAGACTTGAGGCTCCCATATCTCTCCTGTCCTCAGGCTCTCTCATCTCCTAGTTCAGGTTGGAATCTTTAAACTCCGTGTACCCTGTGCCCAGAAGGTCTCCCTACTAGTCACAGGGTTTCCTTCCGCACCTCCCTCAACTCCTCATCCAGCACCTCCTTGCTAACTTGATGCTCCTCCTTAGTAGGTTTCAGCTTGCAATATCCCCTGCACTTCATTCCTGGTAACGATCAACACATTCTCCACTTAGAACATAAGCTTTAGAAGGCCAGACAACTTTATCATTTTCCCTAATTTCTCTTTTCCCTGTATGAAGAATAGTGCACTCCATATGATAGGTTATCAATTAGTATTTGTGGAATCAATGAACAAATGAATGGAAATCCAGGCAGCTGTGACTTCAGAACCTTTCTTCTTCCTTATGCTAGAATTTGGTGTTCCACAGAATGCTCAGCCTTCTGCTATTAACAGAGCACCCTGTGGGATGTACTTCTAGAAACACTAAGCTCTAGCATATGGAAGTGTATATGGGGAATTTAAGTACAGAAAAATCCTAGAAAAAATACACTTTTAAAAAACAGACATCTCTGTAGGCTTTTAAAATGATATTGGGTCTTGTGACCATACATGAGGAAAAAAAATCTTAGAATTTCTTGAAATTATTTGTCCTGGTGAAACTTTCATTCAGACCATGTCTCCCAAGACCTGTGTACCAGAGCTGTGTTTCAGAGGCTTTCCACATGTTGGGAATAACATAGAATCTTATAGAAGTAAGTAGGATGCACTGTGGTAGACAGAATGCTTGAGAACACTGGGAAATTCCCATACAGATTGCTGATTTAACTGAGCAATTCTTATACTATAACCAATGAACAAACAGGCCTTTTTACTTAAATTTTTCATGAACTCATGATTTTTTCTCCTACCCCAGATTTCATCTCCCTTGGGAACTTTGTGCTTCATTAGATGGCATACCATTCTGTGTAATGGCTCAGGCCGGAAAATTGGGAGAAATCAGTACGACTCCCTGTGTAGCTCCTGACTGTGACATGTTCTCCAGCCCCACTGTATTCTCTGGGACTAATATTCCAAGTGTCTCTTGGCCTCTCTCCAATACATTTTCCAAGACACATCCAGAATGAGCTCTTCACTAGGAATATCTGGACATGCCACTCCTTGGATTAGACCCGTCAAGGGCTTGCTGTTGCAAAATCATCCCTGTGGCTTATTAGTTTCTGTGAAAATAGTTGTACCTATTTTCTAGCCTCGTACTACATGTCATCCCGTCTTTCTTCTAGAATTTAAGCAAACTCACTTTCAGCTCTTCTAGCTTATTCTGGAGTAGTTCTACCTCAGGCCCTTGGAACATGGCTGTTTCCTTCATCTCTTCATCTCTTTTCCAATAGCATTTTTCTTGGGCAGTTTCTCTGACTCTCTTAGACCTGGTTATAGATTTCACAGCTCTTTAAGCTTTGCCTTTGGAGCATGCATCACAATTTCAGTTAATGAACCATGTTTTTATTGATATTATTCTCTCCTGCTCCACTGTAAGCTTTGGGGTCATAAGAACCAAGCTTTTATAGTTTGATATTACAGTGTCTACGATTAGCACAGTAGGTACTGTTTTGTGCACGGTAGGTAGTTATTAATATAAAAACAGGATCTTCTGTTGCCTAAATCTGGCCAGGCTYTTTGCCACACATAGTACAGAATTTCATCAGAACCAGAATGATATATATGGGCCAAAGCCTGGAAGGGCTAATAATCTGGAAGGAGTTGGCGGCTAACCATTTTATCCCAGCAATTAGGCCACAGTAGAAATCCACCTACAAATCTTAGTGTTTTGTAGCAATAAACTCTTGTTTCCCCACAAGCTGGCTTTGCCATGGGTCAACTTGGCTGTGCTGATTACAGGGAGGTGCATRTAGGTCAGATTCTGTGGCAGCTCATGCACATTTTCACCTTTGGCTCACTGCATGGATCGAGCCCAAAGCTCTGTCCCTATTGGATCCCTTCCATTGACTTCATAAATCCTGGTCCTGGAGTGATCTGACTCTGAAGCAAGATCATCAGCTTCTCCTGAAAGCTTCCCAGGCAAAGGGGGCTGAGGCTTAGATATGGAAAGAGACCAACATGGCTCTCAGTGACAGACAGAGATGCATGTTCTAGCTGGCTCCTTTTCCGTTCCACTTTTCCCTGTTCTCTCCCCTACTTCATGTCCATCTTCTGAGCCTGAGCAACTATCCTGGGACTCCCAGTTTAGCACCCTTTATAAGAAACAGCCAAGCTGGACTCTCTCACCAGAGTCCATAATTGCATGAGGCTTAATGCTATTTTAACATCTGCACATTGTCCTTCATTCCTGGTTGGTTCTGCTTCTCTGTGTCAGTCTGGTGAGCACCCTCTGCCCTAGGTTGGCTGCACGTTGGCTGTAGCCGTCCTTTCATCCCAGGAGCAAGGCTGGAGGGTCAGCCTCCATGGGGATAACCCCTTCTTAACTGAGAGGGAAGAGAAAAAGAGAGCTGGCCGAAGCACTAATGGCATTTAAAATGTTTATTTATTTATTTAGATACTGGGGATTGAGTCCAGGGGTGCATCACCACTGAGCCACATCCCAGACCTTTTAATTTTTATTTTGAGAAAAGGATCTCAATAATTTGCTCAGGGCCTCTCTAAATTGCCAAGGCTGGCATCAAGCTTTCAACCAATCATCCTGCCTCAGCCTCCTGAGTCCCTGGGATCACAGATGTATGCCACTCCCAGAATTGTCCTCTGAAATTTCCACTCATGTGTCATTGGTCAAAGAAAGTTGCATGGCCAGGTTGTGTGTCATTGGGAAAGAGAAGTACACTCCACCAATGGAGTGTCACTAGGCAACATTGTGGGAAATAATACAAAGGGAAACAGGAAGGAGGGAAAAAGTGGGAATCATTGTCTAATTTATTACCTTATTAAATTTAGTCTATTCACTTTAGCAAATTTAGTCCTCCACTTTAGTGACAAATATTTACATCTCTTTCTTTGACTTTAAAAATATGTATTTGTTGCTTCTCCCTAAAGGACACCCCCAAATCCCATTTGGTCAAGGCAATATACTTCAAGCYCAGGATTTTATAATGATCCCTGCATCAGTGTGGTTCCTCTTGAAGACTTCTGAACCATTTCCCCCCTCTGCCCACACTCTAATACTGGGAGAAGAATAGAATAACATCCACCAAAGCTCTCCTGCTTAGAAAGGTGAGGGATGGTGGTCATCCGGGAGTAGCGCACATGTGGGTGCTCTGAACAGAAAGCCCAGATGCTGTACAGGCCCTGGACCCGAGTGGGGGATGTTCCCTGATGCAGACTCTGGTTCTGCAGCTCAGGCAATCATCTGTGGTTCTTTTCTCTACCCTCTGGAAAGAAAAAGTGCTCCTTTTTCATTGCTTTCATCAATCTCCTCCAAAGATTAGAGAATATGACTTCCCTGGGTAATGTTTTCAGCTTGTACAGGTTGGCAAATGGAAAATTATTTAGAAGTTTCAATCACCTTGAAACCAAGTTAGCACCCCTTTAGTTGTGCATTTCATTAAAAACACATTGAGCATTTTTTTTCCTATTTTATCCCAGCAAGTGTCCTATGCCTATATCCATTCCATACCTGTAATTCTTTTGAGACCTACTTACCTTTTTTGTGTGTGTGCTGGGGATTGAACCCAGGGGCACTTTACAAATGATCTACACCMTCAGACCTTGCTTTATTATATATTTTGAGACAGGTTCTTGCTAAATTGCTCAGGTACATCACTAAATTGCCG